AAATCTAATTTTCTATTTAATTCTTCATTTTTGCTTCCTGTCTTCCATGTTTTACTTTTCAATGGCACTTTTACCTTCAATTACCACTTGTTTCTCTAAAATGACTCATTGGCATGATCCATTTCCTGCTATTGGTCTGTGTTATCAGACTTTATGCTTCTCATGCTTGCCTATATTTTAACCTCCAGCTCTGGTGTAACTCTGTCCTCCCATTTCATCTTCATCCTAGGCCTCTTGGTCTAACTCTAACCCACTTATTAGCTTGGCCAAACCAGCTCTTTTCTCCGGCAGTCAGCTGGGTACTCATGATAGCTTTCAAGAACTATATGCAGCCATTTAAGTCACTATTTATAATTTTTAACAATGTATAGAAATGCTTATGAAGCAATTTTTTCCACTTTTTTGTTTTTGGGGTTTTTTTTTTTGGTACTGGGGATTGAATTCGGGACCTTGTGCTTACGTGGCAGGCGCCGGAACCACTGAGCTAAATCCCCGGCCCTTTTCTACTTTTTTATTGGTTATACAGATTAATGAGTTTCATTCTGGCAGATTCCTACATACATATAACATACTTTGATCATTCATCATCTCACTATAAATAAAAGCACACATGATGTCAACATACCATATGTGATTCTTCTGACACCATTCTAAGTGCTTTAGATATGTTCGGTTGTTTAAAAATATGTTCAGTCCTTTAAAAAATCACTGTGGGAGATATTTTAATAAATTCCACTTTATAGATAGGAAAACCAAGGTATAGAGGGGTTGAGTAACTAGCCCACAGAACCTAATTGCTATTTACTGCCACAGCCAGGTTTTATACAAGCAACATAGGTCCACAATTTAGATTTTAACCATCTGCTACATTGTCTCTAATTGATTGGGCAAAAACCTAGGTTGTCGTCTCAAACACCACATCTATTGCTTATTAAAGTAAAGCAAACACAAGTTCCTTAATGTCTCTGTGTTTCAGGTTCCTTATTTGTGGTAAGAAGTACTTGCATTTCACAGGGTGGTAGAAAGGATTGAGTTACTACATGTGAAATGCTAAGATCAGTGCTTAACACATTAGTGAATGCCAGTTATTACTATTATCATAGTATATGTACATTGACTAGAGAAAAAACTGGAAAGATAAATCAAAGTGATAGTTCTACGAATTGGATTGCAGCCCCATGTAAGAATATAAAGCTGATGTTTATAAATATTCCTGAAATGATGGAAACATTTCTGCAGAAATCTTATAAATTCTTCCTGAATTTTTGATATAGGCACAAAATATTAAAGGGTTATAATAGAATACAATAATAATGTACAATATTTAACATTCACTAGGTACCAACTACATGTCAGACACTACTGAAATGCCACAACTCTGAGAGGTAATATAATCAGCTCCATTTTACAGATCTGGGAAAGGATGAACAGTGAGCTAAAATAACTTGCACTAAGTCACACAGTATATAACTCGAGTGACTATGAACTTGGGGCCAAGGGAAGGTATGCGAGGTAGGCTCATCTTCTTGGCTCAATAAATCAGAAACTCAGAATAGACCAATCGGTAACCACTACCTTCTAATTCACAGAAGACTGCCTGGCTCTTCCTCCTTGAAACACTGGTTGTACAATTTTTATAATTAATAGCAAAATTGTATTTTAAAAAGATTCAAAGATTAGGATAATTATTAATCAGTTATGGGTTTAAGCCTAATCTAATCACAGATGTTATTTGCTCTAATTTAGCTTTAAATTTACCAGAGCAGTTGTGCAGCACTACTGTTTGTCTTAAACAGTAAAAAAAAAACAAGGTTAAAAACTGAGGAAAGAATAAAAGAAATAATGAGAAAAAATACAAGGAAGGTTGGACAGAAAAGATAAAATTTAAAATCACAGTATGCCTACAATCCTCTCAGATGGTATTTGGGAGGACCAGTGTGGATTTTAGTTCAAGTACCCTCAGACTAAGGAACTGACCCCCAAGTCTTCTCCATCTGGTCATAGGTGTTACCAGAGTGTCATTTTATACCAAACTTCTGTTTCTTCAGACATATTTATTATTCCAATTCGTTGCAGATCTGAGTTGTCTCTGGGTATACAATTACCCTAGAAGTAATCAACAGGAGCATTCTTTATAACTAACCCTAAAAAGGGAATTACTAACATAGTTCGTTGAAATCAGCATACAACAAAAACCCTTTTATCTTCAGTTGTGCAGCATATTATTTGTATTTTTGACAACATATTTGCCTTTCTATTTTGTTTAAGCTAATACTAAAATTAGTTTACATTCTTCAAACACTGGCAACAGAAGCAAATGGTGCCAGACAACAGGGCTAAGCTAGTTTAGTAATAAAAACTTGATTGCGACATTATGGAGAATATACAAAATAAAATACTGGTATATGACAGGATCTCATCAAAGCATGCATATTATAATAAGTAAAAAAGAATAACAAAAGGAAATTTTCCTTTTTTGGTAATTCCCTGTTTGGAAGCACTGAAGGAAAAAACTGAGCTGGTGAGAGAAAAAAGCAAAACAAACATTTGATCAGAAAATTCTATTCATAAAATTTAAAATTATCATTATTGTGATTCTTGTTAGAATAACATGTGCCATATAAATATGGGATTATTTCTACTAATGAAAAACCATTTTAAAGAAATTCATAATGGGTTTACATAATGAGGACCTTTATTGCTTATCTCTCACAATCTCTAAGCTATTTAAAATGTAATCCAATGGTGACCAGCAAAACATAAACAGTGATCCCAAATTAATTAATTTATTTTTTCCCTCTCAAACACAAATTTCTACATGTTCTATACAGCCTGTTAAAGGTTATTGTGTTGGCTGAAAGTAAAGGAGAGACTGTGATTTTAATAGTCAGGAGCTGAGGTAGGCCAGGGTTTACCATAGTGTACAGTTGGCTTCTGATGAAAGAACATAATAAGTCTATGAGAAGAAGCCTCATATGTAACTAGATTATTTTATTTTTATTTCTCTATTCACTACCCCCTTTATTCTTTCAAACCAATGTATTTTATTTTCCTTAAGTAAGCTGAATAAAGAATGGACAATAAAGCCTCATTTCTCATCTGAAAGGCTTAGAAAAAGTTTGCAAAATCCTGGACAAAGACTAAAAATTGTCTAGAGAAGAATTCTTAAAGTTATGACTTTGGATAAGTATGTTTTACCATAAAAATCTAAATTCAAAATGATATCTGCATATTCTAAAAAATACTAAAAGAAAGAACATTATCTGATATTTTGGAATGCTGGCATAAACTTCATTGTGTAATTCCTTTGAAACAGTATATCCTCACAAGATTAAAGCTGACAGCATGGGGCTGGGGATTTAGCTCAGTGGTGCCTTTGCCTGTCTTGCAAGCGCAAGGTCCGAAGTTCGATCCCCGGTACCCAAAAAAAAAAACCAAACAAACCTGACAGCATGGCATGAGAATGAGTCCTACTTTCAATTAGTTAATTCTTTCCCAAATCAGAACACATTCTCCACAAACTCAGAATTTTGAATACTGCAATATAGGTCTATTACAAAATTTGCTTTGCATGTAGCTTAGCTTTGTAAAACAGTACAGTATATGCTTTCAATTACATGTATAGTCTTTCTTAAGTTGTTCTATCATGTGGAAGTAAATGATTGTGCTAAAATAGAAACCAAAAAATTCCCTATTAGCCTCTCAATGAGATGTTTGACTTCAATAGGATACTTCGTTTCAAGTAAACAAGTTATACTTGCTTCCGAGATTAAACTATACTTAAGAGTTTCCAATTGCAGAATTATTTTAACATGTTATTCTAACAAGAATCACAATAATGATGATTTTAAATTTTATGAATAGAATTTTCTGAGAAAAGCAGTTAGAAACTTTTTTTTGCAAAAAAAGAATCAGTTTTTTTGCAAATTAAAACTTCTAGCAAAGATCTACTCAGTGAAGAAATTATTAATATGTATTTATATATGAGATATTAAAAGTGAATTTATCTCCAATATAGTTAATAATAGCTGTTTTCTCCACAATGACTGGGTAGATATATAGTAAACAGGCTGCAGGATTTGTCCACTTATCTTGGATAGGATTTGTTGCATAGTTGCTTATAGTCTACTAAGAACTCTTTCTTCTTCCTAGTCTCACACTGTTCTAATACAGGCTACTTCTTACCTGCTCTGGAATACATTCTAAGGATGAATTCGCCTCCAAGATACTCTGAAACTAGTAATCAGTGAAGGGCTTCTACTTTGGGGGCAGAAAGAAGAGCACATTCTCTTCAGAGTGATGAGCTTCTCTAGATTCTTTTTTCCATAATTCTAGGGGTTTATGTCCATCCTCTAAGGATGAGAAACCTCTTTGCTTTAAGTTTTAAAAATCATTGTAAAGGTTATCACTCTGCTAATAAGAACAGCATTGTCTAGTCACCTATTTGCTTGTCCTGATTCATTATTTATACAATTAAAAGTGAAAATGGAAGCAGAAACTTAATACAATAAATAGCGAGTTTATTTGGCTTAATCCCTAAATCTTATATATGGTTTCTTGATTGTCTTCTTCACATGTAACTTTTGGTCATATGTATTGAATAGATTATTTAAGGCAACCTGTTGCCTTTGGTTTTGCTATTCAGCAGGGTTCTAACCCATCTTTTAACTCCAATCAGTTGGTATAGTCATGGAATTCCTATTCAACTCAACAAGGTATGATTTCCAAGAAAATATATTAAAATGTATTGAGAAAATATCCCTCAATCCTCGCGAAACATGATGTGTTCCAAATCATTCTTTCAAAGAACTATTTTGTACTTTTGGGACTGTAATACATCATTTATTCATTTAACAATTTTTTAAATCTCTGTTTAAGACAAAACACTGGAAACTGAACCCTACCATCCTTCTCCAATTTGTATAATTTGGAGTACTCCCACTCTAAAACTGCTTCTAAAAAACTTTTTTTTTAAACAAGATGTTTTTTCTTTTTGATACCTTATTGTCAGTCCTAATCGTGACTTTTAGCTGTGGTAGTACACGTTCAACTTCTAGACTCCATTCCGCAGCATCTGTTGTAGATTCCAAAATATCTTCTTGTTTGGCAGACTCGTTCATGTCCTAAGAAAGGAAAGATATCACAAGACTGAGAGTTTATAAAAAGAAATGGTAAAATCTTGAGGCATTTTAGAAGCACTGCACAATTTAAATTGAGGATGATAGTGTTAAAACTGTAGTGGCAGTGTAAGTTCTTCTCTGTACTCCTACCCATGCTGAAAGCAAATCATGCACCAACTTGCTAGAATGAAAAAATAAGTATTAAAAAAGAAGCAAATATGTGGTTCAACTATTTTACAAAGGAAAATGCTTTTCAATTATCACACTGAATTTAAGGGAATACTATCAAATGGACATTTAGGTATGTTAATTGCCAGCAGTAAAGAAATGTAAATGCTCATGTTTGTTAAGAAAGTATTGTTTCATTTGAATTTATTATACAGAAGCACATGTCCAAAATTTGAAAGATAAAAAAGATAAAATCTCAGAAGCAAAGGGCTCATTATTTACAAATTTTATATTCATAAAGTGATATTTTGGTTAGGTCAAATTATAATATAGCTTTAAAATGTAATTTAATATAGACATACTTGAACTCAAATAGGATGGGGGCAAAATGTCTACATTTGGTTTCTGCCCTTGAGTAATAAAATCAATTCATGACTGGTTTTGAACCTCAAATGGAAAACCTTTTTTCCCTTAGATTTCCTAGCCTTTCACATTTTAGTATTAAATATTTATGAATCTGAAAATGTAGAGAATGTACAAATTAATGATTTAAAGACAAAGCCTAAAGGCATTCATTTTGGTAGCAATTTTTCCCTTTAAACCCCCTTAATGAATTATAACAACTCTAAAGAAAAATATATAAATATTTATATAGAAAAGAGACCCAAGAGAGATAAACAGCCAAACACAATGCATGAACCTTACATGAACTCTAATTTGAACAACTAATTGGTAAAAAGATATTTTTGAGACAATCAGGGAAATGTAAAAATGGATGAGTACTAGATATTAGGAAATTATTAATTTTATAGGCATGATTTGGCATGAATATTATGGTAAAAAAAAGGCCTTATAAGGTAGAAATAAGTGCTGAATATTTACAGATGGATCGACATGTTTGAAATTTACTTTAAAATACTATGGAGCAAAGGAAAAGAGAAGGAAGATTTGAATAAAACACAACTGACAAAATATTAATAACTACTGAAACCAGGCAATGATGTACAAGTAGTCATTATCCTCATCTAATTGTTACGTTTGAAATGCTCCATAACACATAATTCAAAAATAAAAGGCTATGTAAACTTCATAGTGAATAACATTTCTCATTGTGAATTTATGTAATTAAAAGATGTTTCTTAAATGAGCTAGACTAATCCTTCCAACCCAGCCTAACACCTTTTAGGTGCATTGAAACTAGATTAACTTATGTTGGGGTTTGTATTTTGGGTGGGAAATTGAGCTCTTCAGCAAGTGAACTCACTCTGGACTGAGACTCTGGGGGTGCTAGTGACGTAGGAACTTTCTTATGCTCCAGCTCATATTAGCAAGTCTTAAAAGGACTCAGACTATTTAAGGGAGCATATAAACCACTTTTTGCTCAGAAATTCAGGGGCTATATATTTCTAACCACAGTATTTGAGGATAGATAACTGTTTTTATACTTTATATGTGGTCTAAATTTTTTAAATGACATTCCATTTAGGAAAGATTTTGAAGTACAAAGAAGTACAAAGATTAATTTATGTAAAATGTGGAAAATATAAATGAAAAAAAGCTCAAGTTTCTTTCTTTCTTTTTTTTTTTTTGGTACTGGGGATTGAACTCGGGACCTTGAGCTTCTTGGGAGGCAGGCAACAGCACGACTGAGCTATATCCCTGGCCCTCAAGTTTCTATTTTAGACATCAGAGAGCTCATTTAAATATAGAAACATTGAATTGTCTTGAGTACTTCACAGAATGCTGTGTACTTCTATACAAAGTGAATCCAGCATAACACAAGAGCAACATAGCTGGGGAGGGGATTACAACACTCACAAAGTGGACATGAGAATGTATATGATGGCAGGGAAGAAGATACTGAGTTTCTCTGCTGAAACCTAAAGCAATGGGGAAGGTTCTCTGTCATGTACATCTACACTGGCATCCATAACAAGAGCAAGGCCATGTACACACTCACTGGCACATCTGGTACCTCTCATGGGCTGCAGAAGGCCCAATTCGGAGTGGTTCAGTTCTATACCAAGCAGGGTAGACTACAGGGGGTGGTGGTAAAGAGGCTTCATCCACTGCGAATAATACGTAAATATGTGAACCCTGAAAATTGGGCCGCATATGGGTATACACCAGCTTGCTCCTACCAGGGCATGGGCTCCCAACCCCAATCTCACAGAGCCAGACTGAACCAAGGTATGCCCTCTCAGCAGCAGTTTTGTGTGATTCTTAATAGAATGTAGATGCCTTGGTTACTGATTTAAAAATAAAATTTGGTTACAAAGCCACAATTTAGGTGAGTTGAAACTAGATGCTATTGATTAAGTCCCAGAGCTAGTGATGTCTGCTTTATCATTCCACTTTTCCTCACCTTACAAGAGGGTACAATTCAAAATCAACAAACAAGGCCCAAAGAGTCTGTTTTTCAGGACTGGTTACAGGACTGTTCCAGTTGTCAATATACTCAAAAATTTTACTCAGGAAAAAGCATGAGTCTCTAATTTTCACAAAGGAAAATGTGTTTGCAGTGGCCCTGTATGAATAAGACCCAGGATCTGAGTTAGTAGGGTACAGAAAGGTCAAACGCTGCATTATGACATCCCAGTACATAAGCTATTTGTTTTTATATTGGACTTTTCAGTAAGTTGCATTTACCCTTACTAACTTATTATTTGGTTCTCTTTAGCAATGATTTGCTATCCCTTCTTGGCCTTTGGGCTAAGATCAAATGTGTAGCAATGATTTGCTAACTCCTACTTTCAATGTCCTAAAATGATTTAATGTAGGAACTCAAAAAGTTTCATTGAATTATAGACCATATTTAAAACACTGGTGGAGGGCTGGGGATTTAGCTCAATGGCACTGCTCCTACCTCACAAGTGCAAGGTCCTGAGTTCGATCCCCAGTCTCAAAAATAAATAAATAAAATAAAATAAATATTGGTGGAAATGGCCTAGTTATTAAATGAAGGGCAAAATGACATTGATAGAACAGTATTAACTTATTCAAACTCTACAGTCTGTACTTCCATGTTTGCACATCTATTTCATAACTTCATTCTTCACTCAAAATTTCTTAATGTCTAATAAGTGGAAACATTAACTATGCAAGCCCTATATGAAATAAAAAAAATTTTAAAACTCTGTACTATGCCTTTGTTATGATACTTTGAGAAAACCTGAATTGTTTATCCATTTAATAAATGGCATTTTATGTGGGGATATTAGGAAAAGGGAAATAAACTGCTATTTTCATTTAATTAAAATTTTATATTATCCCGACAAAATCCCTCTGAAACAACATTAACTAAGATCAACCTCAGCTTTGGGGAACTTTTCAGCTACTGCTGCTGAAGCTCAATAAGACATGCTATCTAGTAGTCTCATGTTTAATTAATGTAACTAATAAACCATTTGTTAAGCTCCTACAACATTCAAGGTAAGAATCCAGGTACTGTGCTTGGTTTGGAAAGATAAAGGGATTCAATCCCTGCCTGCAAAGACTTTACAACATATTGGGAAGTTTTTGAGGTCAGTTAATGGGAGCAAAATTTGGTTTTAGGTGAAAAAAAAAAGAGGAAACTGATGAGGACTGATCCTAAGACTGTCAAAGGAAAAACTGGAGATAGTGTTCTAAATCATCCCATAAGGTAACCTTGGGCTCAAATAGAGGGCCAGCCATCAAAGTCAGTTCAAGGATCAAACATGTGATGTTTAAAACTATGCTCAGAATCTTGTTCTAGAAGGTAGTATCTCTTGTAAGCAGCATCTAAAGAAAGACTGTATTCTGTATGTGTATGTATATAAAATGTATGTTCATATATATAGCATATATGTGCATATAAATTTATATAGGAATCGCACATCTATACCAGTACCCAAATTCTTCTGAGGTGTTTAAGTCATAGATCTCCTGAGATGAACCTGAAAATATGATTACATATCAAGATTAAGTAACACCAGGACTCAATGAAAAGAGAATTAAACTTTCTTGAGAGTCATAACAGTATGGTGTAAATGTTGCAAGGGTGAATCCCACCTCTACCACTTCCTAGCTACTGGTCAAGTTACTAAAACTTTCTAGATTTCAGGGTCTCTATGAAGTGAGGACAATAATAGAACCTTCTGTATCAGAAAGGTTCCTATAAGGATTGTATGAGATGATATATTTGAAAGATTTGCAACTTATGCACAAATTTGTTTCTATGTCAGTGGCACACTTTTTTTTCAGACTTACAAAAAGCTGCACAAACAGCAGAGGATTGCATATACTTCTTTATTTAGTTTCTAGTTTGTTAACACTTTACATAATCTCAAGGTAATTAAGAACAAAAGGGTACAAAGTTTATGTCTAAATACTGAGATCTGGAGACATTTTTACGTTTTTCTTCATATTCTTTTATGCTTTCTTTTTTTAAAAAAAAGGAACATAGGGAAGCCCTACCAAGGTCAAGAGTCGCGCGGAACACACCTAATCTGCCCGCTGCAGACAGACAGGTATGCAGACGCCCTACCGAGGTCATGAGTCACACAGAACACTCAGAATCAGCCTGCACCCCGGCAGGAATCCACTGGACAACCCCACCCCCCCATCCTCTGTAAAGCCACCTGGTTCCACTACAAAGACACAGAGGACACTAGACCACCAAACCACGGTACTGGATCCCGCCACTCCCAGCCCAGAGGTAGGGGCTTCTGAGCCACTGTCCCACTGCTCCTGTTACAGAGCAAGGTGCTTCCCAGCCACCATCCCTCCCGCTGCTCCCAGCCCAGAGGAAAGGGCTTTTGGGCCGGCTTCTGTCACCACACTCCTAGACCAGAGGAAGGGGCTTCCAGGCCACC